GATGCAGCGCAGGTGAGACAGCAGCAGCAGCAGCAGCAGCAGCAGCAGCAGCAGCAGCAGAAGTAGCAGCAAAGTTAGTGTTATATTGCAAATTGTTTGCCCTTTAAGATTAATACTTAACGGTTTGTTGCTATTGTTTGTTTATGATTTCGGGTTCATAACTTAGGGTTTAGGGTTTAGGGTTTAGGGTTTAGGGTTTAGGGTTTAGGGTTTATGTGTCTTTAGGAAGTGGTGCGTCGGACGATTGCCGCTGTACTTCGTCAAGGAGAAAGTTTGCAGGGTTTAATAAACAAAAGCGAAGATCTCTCAAGTAAACAAATATTTTTATACTTCTTTATATTAGTTTATTTTGTTTTATTGTTTTATTACTATTTATTATTAAGTATTATTATTATTATTATTATCTATTATTATTATTATTTGATGTTGTTATTGAAGAATTTCTTTTGGTGCTGTTGTTATTAGAGACAGAGACAGAGACAGCGAGAAGAGAGACAGAGAGAGACTCGCAAACAGCAGGAGACAGAATAATACAGATATAAACAAAAAACATAAATCTGCTCTATTATTTATTTTGCTGCTGCTGCTGCTGCTGCTGTCTCTTCTTCTGCTGCAGGCACCTCAAAGCAGTTATTTAAAAGCACAAACAAAGTAAAAAACAGCTTCGGCTGCTGCCGCATGCAGTAAAACACATCACTACTACTACTGCTGCTGCTGCTGCAGCTCTGCTGATGCTGCTATAGATCTGCTACTGCTGCATTTGTGCTGCTGCTGCAGCAGAACAAGTGCGCAGCAGGAACGCCATTCGCAACAGCAGCAAAGCAATTTTAAGCAGCAGCAGCAGCAGCAGCAGCAGCAACAGCAGCAGCAGCAACAGAAGCAGGTGGCTGGGTGTTTGTTGTTGGTGTTTGGGTTTATATCCCTTTTGTTTTTTTGTTTATTTTACTCTGAAAGAATATATAGAACTATTTCTTCTCCTCTCGCTCGTTACGTTAAGATGCAATTAACTCCTAACGCTGCTGCTGCTGCTGCTGCTGCTCGTAGTGCTGCTGCATAGGAGAAATATATATATATATATATATATATATATATATATATTTATTTATTTATATATATATAGAGAGAGAAAGAGAGAGAGAAACAGACAGTCGAGCAGAGACCTACAGACATCGAACGCCATTATATATATAAAACATATATATATAAAATATATATATATATATATTTATATATATATATATGGTGCATGCAAACATATATATATATATATATGTAGATATCAATTGCAT